CAGTTTATGTATAGCCAAAACTATACTATACTAAACTATATTTCTTATTTTTTAAGGGACACAGGATCAGTAGGATTCAGAGACAGATGGGTTATACCGTTTCCTTTAGGAGGAATTGGGCACTGCCAAACAACAAAGCCATTGACCATCCAATTATAGCCCTTCTTACTCCCATGATGCTTCAGTTTTTTGCTAGTGTCCCATGAGGATGGACGTCTTTTCTCTTTGGAAAGAAGTTTACCTATTTTTACTAGATGGTTTTGCTTTTATAATTTTTTTTTTTCCTCCTATCAAGATTCTGTTACACTGCCCAGTTGAGCCGCAGCTATCCAGATTGGCCAATCCTCAGCGCCACCTTAAGGATTGTACCCAGACCGCGCCTGGTCAAAGATTGTGGATCTAACCTGTAATGTGACCCTCAGGCATTGGGCTCTGTTTGTGATGCTTCCTAGACACCTAATGTACTGGTTTGTTAGCCGTAAAACACTTTGTAGGTCCAGGGCCTCGACAACCTCGGGTGTGATCCTGTTCCGTCAAGTCTACCTTGGGAGTATGCCCATGGAGGGGGTACAGAATGCCTGGGATGTGACATGGTCTCTGGGTTCTGCATGTGGCAATCTCCAGTTTTGGTACTGTGTTAGCTGCAGAACATTACACATCTCCCCGCTCGGCTCTTAACAACCTGGGACGCACTGGCTGGCGTCCTCCCCGCTCTGGTTGGGCAGGGAGATGTGTATGGCCCTTACACATCGTCCTGCCCAGCTCCTAGCAACCTGGGACGCTCTGACCGGCGTCCATTGGGACGCTAGTCAGAGCGTCCATTGTCGCTAAGTGCTGGGCGGGGAGATGTCTATGGGAGAGAGGTAGGCATAGAAAAAGTCAGCAGTCTCTGTGGGTTGATGAACTTTTGCTGATCCACGGAGCGGCGCCAACCGCTTAAAGTGGCATGTGCCATACCCTGGATACACTACTATAAAAAAGTGATGCGTCACAGCTGTGTCACGCAGGCACTTTACACTATCTCTTCTGGCTTTTCAACGTGGGGTAGTTTCCTGCAATTGCTCTACTTGCAAGCGTTCACAAGTCTTACCTGGGTTTGTCCTTGCAGCTGCTTAAAGTCATCTCTGGCCATATAACCTCCTCTCCTTCAGCAGCTGGTATGTACTTCTTGCTGTAATATTAAGTTGCCTTTGTTGCATTGCCTCTCCAGCTCACGATCCACTAAGGTGGTCTGCAGAATCCCTTCCCAAAAACCTGACGCTGAAAGCTTGGATCTTTGTCCCCTGCTTGAGTCCACACTCTCTTCGGAGTGCTCCCTCCTCTGCATTATCCAGGGAGGGATTTTCTACAGTTCAGTTTATGAACAAAATCACTAACAGCGGAATCAGAATGTAGGGGCCAAGAGTGGACTTCTAAGCCTTCTTCTCCAGAGTGTGCTTTTGACATTCCTGCCGCTACAGAAGTTTCTGCTCCCTCAGCTCAGGATGATGAAGAGTCTTGCCAATCCATTTTGGATGAGTTTGTAGCTGAGGAGAATCAGTCTACTGACATACCCTTCAGGTTACAAAATACCATTTTGGTTCTTGTTGACACAGTACTTACCTGTCTAAGAATGGAGCAATCTGCATCTGAAACCACTGCTCTTACAAATCTAGGCTCCCTCGGGTCCTAAGGCTGTCAAAACTAAGGAAGTGTCAGAGGAAGCCAAAACTCTCCTTGCTGACCATGTGGTTTGGAACATTTAGAGCTCATGTCTGCTGCATTACACCATTGTGTTGCCAGGCCAGTGGATATTTTGTCTATCCAGAATGGGTCTCCTGTCTATGAATATGAGAACTTTTTGGCTGAAATGTTGGTCTGTAAAACAGAAGTGCAAAAATGCTTACTGCATATGCCTTTCAATGGAGAATGTCTCTTGTTTCTTCCCTGGACACCTTTTATTAAAGAGGTCACTGGTGGAGAAAGTACTCTTGCCCAGCAAAAGAAACCCAAACCTCATACTGGCAAAACTCCTTCCACTTCTAATGCCAGGAGAGAGATAAAATGACTTCATATAATGTATCCCAGGAATCTTTTGCAATGCTAAAAACAGACATATTGTTTTTCAGAACAATGTTTGTAGGGATTTTCAAGCACAGGGAACTGAAGGGGCGAATGTTTAAAGGAGAACTATGGGGCTAGTGCTTTTCCCCATAGTTCTCTTAAGGGTCACAGGAGGACATAAACTAGCGTCCTCCCGTGACCCAAAGCTCAGTATATCGCAAGCTACAGCTTGCAGTATACTGAGACAGCCGCAGCCCGGACGGACCAGCTGTGCCTGCCCGGTGCATTCCTCCAGTCAGTGCTGGAGGATCAGACAAGGGAGGGGGGGGGATCCCTGCAGGGAGTGACAGTCACGGCTCTCTGCAGGGAGATGATCGAGAAGTGAGCGAGTGACGGTATGTCACTTCCCGATCTATTGAGCCGACGTGTGACAGTTTCATTTTCACAGGTCGGCTAGAACTATAAAGGCTGAGTGATTTTCACTCGCATCATAGTTCTCCTTTAAACAGGTTACAGGAGAAGGGGAGCACAGGGAGGTCCCCATCAGTGTAATGAAACTCTTTCAAAAGGACAGTAAACAGACAAGTGACACAAAAAGCTACAGAGAGGAGTACACAATTTTTGGATTTCACTCTACGGGCTATGCAGTGTGACGGGTATGTAAATCACAAGAATGATTACACACAATAAAGGTCCATTTGATGTATTTCAGCTTTGTATTTAGCTAGTTCTGCTGCTAGTTGAAATTGGTTATTTACATATGATTTTAGGTGAGTTGAACGTCAGCTTTATAGAATAATGGTATTCAGTACAGACCAAGCGGAGCTCATGTCACATACATTCTGTGTAATTATAATGTGTTGCCTCTCCCCAGGTGTATAGTGAAAATTACCGGTGAAATGGTTTTGTCCTTCCCGGCTGGCATCACCCGCCATTTCTCCAACAATCCAACGCCCGTGCCCCTGACATTCCGGATCACCAACTACAGCCGATTAGAACATGTGTTGCCAAACCCACAGCTCTTGTGCTGGTGAGTATACTGCCGTCATATGAAACGTGAGCATGAGAAGCAACCGTGATCAGTATAAAAGTGTCTAATAGTGTGTATTACATCACTTCCAGCCTCTCATTTCTCAAGCTGCTGATGAAGCAGATCTATGCTTTTTTTTTGGGTCCCTAGGTGACATTGGGGGTCTATTAAACCCCTGATGTCTCCATAAAGAGGACCTGTCACTGTGTCTGTGCATATCACATAGTGGACTTCTTTGCACCCTATGTGATAGCGGTAAAGTTAAAGTAGTATTAAAGGCTGGGCGTTTTTTACTGTAGTGCATTCTCATAAATGCCCAGTACCTTTTTGACTCACCCGTGTGGCCCCCCCCCCTCACTTACCTGTCAACACCACTTGTAACCGCTGCTGATCCCTGAAGTGCTCCTTCAGCCTGAACTTCCTGGTTGCAGGGGAGGATACTGAGGGCAGAGGAGCCATAGGCTCCTTCTGCCGTCAGTGAAACTGTTGGGCGGATAGGAGGGTCATGGCCTGCCGCAGACGCACACAGCTACTTCGGGCACGGCTGGAAACACTGGTGGACAAAACCTAAAGCTATCATATTTAAGTGTAAAGACACGTTGCAAAATTAGTCACATATAAAAAAAA